AAATGCTTTTTATCAATATGCTAAATATAGGATCGTCTTCTGTAAACTAATTACCTAGTTTATGTATTTTCCGAAGGATGGTCTTAATAACTTAATTACTCCCTAAGTTCCTCAATTCTTGCTGGGAGATCTCAGTTTATATTGACAAGGAATTTTGGGAGAATCGTAGCCATGCATAATAGCATGAAGTACAAACATTCTGCTGGGGAATCACTCTCTCAAAGGGAGTCCTTATTTCATACTAAAGGTCCTTTCACCCTATGATTTGCAACACCTTATACCCGGGGGATTAAACCTTGACAGGGATCCTCGATGCACATAGGGTACCTTTTTTGACATTTGGTATGGCAGTGGACCCAAATTTTAGGATCTGGTATGAGAATGTCCTAAAGACTTTTGAGGTATGGCAATGGTCAGATTTTCCCACTTTTTGGTATGAGAATGGTTGTGGAAAATATGTAACCTCACACTTGTGTTATGTTATTGGTCTAGTACTTACACATATCCTTAATTGGAGGTTGTTTTGGACCGTTTTCTTCATAGATTCGCCTTCTTCTCAAGGCCTTCTTCATGTTTGAATATTAGCTTTTTCTACTTTGGACATTTGTTATGGCATTGGTCTTATAGACATTTGGTATGGCATTGGTCCTATATTTGGACATTTGGTATTGGCTGGGCATTATTTTAGTTGGTATGGGAACACATTGAAATTTGACAGATTGGTATGGGAACATACTTATATATAGTGAACCCCTGGGACCTTATATAAGACGATGATAACATTAGATAATGAAAATTTGTATATTTGAGGAAGTAATTCCTTCCTAAGTATTTTTTTCACTTGGCTTCAGAAAGTTCAACAACACTGGAACACATGAGAGACCATTGGAAATTTCTAAGCTTATAAGACTATCACATTTTATATTTTCAGGTTACAAATTTATGTTTGATGAAAAGCTTGTAACAGTGTGGTCAGCACCGAATTATTGCTATCGTTGTGGAAACATAGCGGCCATCTTAGCATTTTCTGATGCTGAACATCGTGAACCACAATTATTCAGAGCAGTTCCTGACTCTGAGAGAGTCATACCTGCAAGGACTACCACTCCGTATTTCTTATAAGGAGGCTTTCTACCCCTTGATTAACCACCACATTTACTTGGTACTAAAGTCACCAAAGTCATATAGAATATTGAGTAATATTGATATTGACCTATAATCATTATTATACAATATTAATAAGATGATATTAAACATTGATTTAATTAAAGTGTTACAATCTTGGAAGATGGATGTCTTGGAGACCCTCGTCGATATATAGTATTAGTACAGTAGGAACCAAAAATCAGAAATTCCCTTTTACACACCAGAATAGCCTGACTACGGTCAAGTCAGTTACCGTTGTCACAAATTGACATAACCGTCGCTTCGACTGTTTAATCACTTGATCCTCATTTCATTTCATGGATTTTATCGTCGTTAATTCTGTGCATGCATTAAGCTCTTGTGATAATGTATCATATGAAATCCCATTTTCGATCAAATTGGGTCGTGAATCGCCACAATATAGCCTCTTCGATATCGTCAATGACAACGGAATTTGATTAATTTAGAACGACAACGGCATATGGTAATTACCGTGTCCGTTGTCCCGTATCTCATTTTGATGGGTTAAATCAAAGACTTAATTTCGATGGTAGAACAGTATTAACTGTACAATGAGTATAAAGACACTTTGATCGATTGTTGTTCCAAAGGAATTTAGTCTAGGTGCTCTATCAAATATACAGTTCATGAAAATCTAATTGAAGCGACGGTTATGTCCGCCATTTGTGACAACGGTATCTGACTTTACGGTAGTCAGGCTAATCCGGGGTGTTTTAATTAAATGGAGTATACTTGTACAATTATTGTGATATGTTCATTGAAAAGAAATCAGATCTGTTACTTTGGAGCCCATGAATCCATATGATTATAATGATATAAGAGGTATAAGCTGTTTTCATATATGACTAAATCAGATATTATTTTCTGATCTAGTTTGAGGATTACCTATTTGAAGAGATTTTATCAATTGTTTGCTATGGAATATGATTGGAATTACTGTGTCTAAAAGGCAATACAGTATAAGGTGTATATATGAAATAAACTATAAATTGGAATCCTTTTAAAATGGTTTATTTATTTATTGGAAACTCAGTCAGAATGATAAGATTGTAAGATGATGTACATTTATATTGATTCTAACTGAGGGTATATTTCTCTGTATTTTTCTTGTATTCTTTGATCTTTTTTAAAGACCCAATAGCTCGTCTTTACATAATATTATATACAGGTGCTAATTCTAATGATCAGGATATTGTAGGAGACGTTTTTACAATCTCACTGAAATAATTAGCACTATGACATTTTGTATGAAAAAATAAATGTGTTGATGGATTCCGTAATTGTTTTGATTCAATCCGCCTCATGTAACATTTAGAATTACTTTAGCTCATAAATTAAAGCATTGTTGTATGGAAAAACGAGCATATTGAACATATACAGGCTTATACAAGGGCCGATCACAAGTCCTGATAGAAATGCTCTAACTTAAAGACGTGGTGTGCTCCGTGCGTTTATTCATTTAAAAGTTTATCATTCTTTTTGTACAATATTTTCAGAGTAACTGGGTCATTTATTCCCTTATAAGTTATAAAAGATTTAGATGTTGGAAACAAATATTTCTGAAGTTATGGTTGCTATGGTAACCTCAATAACGTTATTAGCGATAATATTTGCGAATTTTGAACTTAGTTTTCTTTTGAATAAATGATCAAAACGCCATTAGAAGTTTGCTTAATTCTACAAATGTCTGTTTTAATTGTAACTGCTGTTTATGTCCTATAGTCATAAGTGTGAAATCATGTATGTAAATCTTGTATGCTACAGAAAACATGAGACACGGATATGATACAGAAGACATGAGCTACTAAGCTGTCAGTTCAACTAAGTAAAGGAATGCGTAAAAAAGTGACCGAACAGAGCCATTGATTCAAACATGCTTGACTTGAACAACACATCATGCCACAATAGCAATACAGAGGATCACACTGGATAAAAACGTTAAAGAATGATTTGAAGTGCAATACAGAATATATTCTACTCTCGATATTTTGTTATTAGGTACTCGACTTCGTCTCGTTCCAATACAGAAATTCTCGAGCAGATTATATCCTGCATTGCATTTCAAATCATTCAAAAACTTATCGTATAAGCATATAAATTATGTAAGTTGTGTAAACATTTCAGATGATTATATTTACTTATGAAAAAGTTTTTATCAGAACTTCTGGATCGGCCTTTGTATACGTTGTCTTGATGTACATCAGACAGTAAGGCTATCAATTAACTTAGTTTATTAAGCTTAACTCGTTCAAGTTCAATCAATAATCTGTTTTAGATAATGGACATGGGTCATAACTTTAAATGTCACTTTGTCATCATAGACATTATTTAGTAGAGGTGACATGATGTGGATCTAGTTATCATTACTTTTATTTCCTTTCTTATTAATTAGTTGTTATGCATTTGATTGATATTGGTTAGAAATATGATTGCCTACAATTATATGAACACAATTCCGATGTATTCAAGCATCTGCTGTTTATACAAAATAAGTGTTATATTTCTTTCATCTCTCAAAGGCCCAATATAAACTTTAAACCACTCTTGCTAATATCATAGCCTTACCCTATGTTTTTTTAGGGGGGGGGGGAGTTGAAAAAGTGGTTTTTGAAGGACTTTTTATTCGAAAAATCATGAATTTATTTAAAACTGAAATTAAGAGCTCGTTCATATTTTTAATAAGCTATAATTCTCCCCAATGCAGTGTATCACGTGTCCTTTGCAGCGAGAAATTAACTCACCCATGCATGAAAGTGTTTCAGCGAAAGTGCATTTTAAAATTTTAGTTCTCGTAGAAATCAATGGTACAGTAATCCCCAGGGGACCATAATTTCTTTCACACCCGTCCAGAATATATTCTAGACCGGTCCATATGGACCACCACTATGACGTCACACATTTCTCAGGTCGATATAGTAAAATGAATGCCTTCTAACTAGCACTAAAACCCCTAGAACTGGCCCGGCAAGGTGGTAATAATATTTATTAATTTCTCATTGGTGAGATTATAATTTTAATATAAATTCATGATTTTTCAAATAAAAAGTCCTTCAAAAGCCACTTTTTCAAATCCTCAAAAAAGTTTAACATATCACATTTCGATAACATTGGATAAGGCTATAATATAAGGTAAAGTGGTTTAAACTTTGTTCAATCTTCGCAATGGTGTAAAAGATTTAATGTATTTTACTTTGTATATCGTGGAATATTTGATGATTAAAAAAATTCATTTTTTATTTAAAAAAATGGCGGGAAATTGAATATCTGAAAAATACACGGGGCCTTTAACTAGAATAAGCATTTGCTGTTGGTAGCCTATCAGTGCTTTAATCTCAAAGCAGCGTTTTCTGTTTGGCACGTTTTCTATTCTCGCAGCTTTCTTTACGGCACGGTTTAGTTTCCTCTATTTATAATCCCTGGTCTGAGGAACATGTAAAAATCTCATGGATATTAACCTAAATTATTCCTCTAACGGTGTTTTAGACGAATAAAACATGTTTGCCCCTTTTAATTAACAAGTTCAAATAAAATATAATCACTTTACCATCCTACGATTCTCTTTTCCAAGATCAGAAGATGCGACCCATACATTTATAATTAATGAATGAGATTGGTTGAAGAAATTAAGTTCTAATTGCATACTTTTGTCGTAATTACATTGATAATCCCTCCAATTACAAATGTGCTGCAATATATAAATGAATAGGATGTAGAGCTTTTAATTAATACATTAACTTACTCAGTTCGCATCCTTGATCCAAAAGGGTAGCATTCAACTGAGAAACTCAGGGAAAGGCTCCATTTGATGAAGTAAGGCATAAATAAGACGCAAAATGAAAGTGCTACTCGGTTTGGTAAGCGTTTTAATTGTGGCGTTGGCAGTTGCCAAGCCGAGCGGAGATATAAACGAAAAGGTAAGATTGTACATTGAGAAAAAGAAAAGTGCTTGCGACTGGAAAGTTATTCCAATTGTCAAAAGGGTCACAAGTACGTCATGGCTATTCGCTATCATTAAGTTTTCTCGAAAATATTTGAATGTTCGAGAGGGTGGAGAAACTTATATCTGAATAAAAATATATATATAAAGCCTAATTCTGCTTTCAAAAAGGCATTAATATTCGAGAGAATTAGTATTGGACTATTCTTTGACTTTTGAAAAGCATTTGATAAGTTAGTCTTGAGGTACTACCATTTACCATAGTGCAATTTAAATTTAATGTTTCCTGTATGGGAGGAAGAAGCAGCCAGGCCAGGCTTTAGTCTACAGACAGATCATACTCAAATCACTCAGTTTAATGAAAACGTCTCCAGAACACAATTTTGTGGAGTCGTGCAGGGATCTATTCTTTTGCTACTTCTCTTCATAATATACATAAACAATCTTGTCTCCAACTCTCAGTGGTGACATATTGTTATGGTCTCCATTTTTGTGACGACAGTTGGCGTCTGGCGTTCGTAACAAATGGCAGGTTGTGACTGTTTGTATGTTAATTCCTTGTTGTATATACAGATAGTACTAATATTCTCTGTTCGAGTGATAATATTGTTGACATAAATAACATTTTGAATAATGAACTGGTAGTATTACGCTTTCACTAAACCTCAGAAAACAAGTTTTCTTGTCTGCACAACAATATTATCATCAATGACCAAATATTCACACACTATAAGGTATAGCCATTCTATATTTAACAATAGATGAATGATTAAAAACTGTAATAAGGGAAACGCTGATATTAAGTGAAAAACTACAAATGGTATCATAGTGATTAACCAAGTAGGTTTTGCGCGGGTCAAAATTTGACCTTGCAAAAGTATTCTGGTTGAATGTCATTCTTTAAGTGTAGTCGTATTAAAGGCGATCCGCAATATTAACCTTTTCAGAGTACGGATGATGATCCAACACTGAATGAGGTCGAGACACAGGGTGTTGAAGACAATCTAGAGCAGAATGGTGAGGACAATGATCGGAGCAATGGAGAGGACAATGTTGATGGAAGTGGAGTGGACAGTTCAGAAGAGGAAACAACGACAGAGAGTAACAATGAGACACATGAAAATCCTGATGAAAAGTCTGAAGGAGGTAAGAAACTAAAGGAAGATAGGGATAGGAACGAGTTCAAAGCAGGTTTTAAAAATGTTATAATTTTACAGTATCTATTTTTTTCTTTCACCATTCCATATAAATCCAATTTTTGAAACACAAACAGTTTTGATTTTTATTCAAGAGAATGATTTTAATGTTATGTGGCCCAAAAGTGGACTCTTTATGTATCTTAGTAGCAATCTTCAAAAGCGTCTATATTCGGCCAGATATCCCAATCTAATTTCATAAAATAAAAACATGAGGATTGTAAAAGAAATATTAATATCATGCTTTTGGAGATTAATTACTTCCCACATTGGTCACTTTCTATTTTTTCTTGTCCTTTTGTTCTGTATACTTTCGAAACCAACTTTTGGTACTCAATTTATATTTTTTCGAATCTCTGTTTTTTCGAATTATCTCTCCACTCGTGTAGTTAAGACAAGTTTTACTTGAAGCATAATATGAATTCGCACAGTGTGGAAAATCTAAAAGCAGATTTTGATTATTGCTACAAGGAGACACATAAATGCAACCAATTCATTTTGGAATACCTTTCTCAATTTACGCGCTCCAATATCTGCACTTGTTGCAAAATCGATGGATTGCTTTTGTGTTCCACTGTATTACGATTTGGTTTTGTTTATTACAGAAAGTAATGTTGTCGAAGGAGACATTAAGCTGAGGGATGGTACGAAGAAGGTAAATGTTGGATTTAATCACATGCACAAAGTTAACCATTAAATCAGTAGACATTAACTTTTTCAGAAATAGACATGGTCATTCTAATTATATGTACACTTCGAACAACGATCGAACAAGTGAGAAACTTTTAATTGGAAAAAATAAGTCCATTATCATTTTGATTTTGGAGATGGTCAACCTGGAATATGATTACATGTAATGTGCTTTTACATGTTTTAAACAACATAAAAACTTTGACCTAATTGAAGTTAGAAATACTGTGTCGCGAATTTAAAATTGTTTAGAATATTATTAATTTTTTATGAGCTTATTGGGTGTAGCCTATAATTTTGAAAGATTTTGAGAGAGAGAAACAAAGTCTCGAAAAAATGTCACAATTTTGCAATATTTTTATTCTCATCATTCTATGCCATGCTACATTCGACCTTCAGAATAATCCTTACATTTTTAGGGTTACATATTCAAAAATGGTTACAGGATGACCGGGTTGTACTTACAAATCAACTATGTGATTCAACACATTTTCTTGTTTTTTCTTCGAAAGTAAACACAAAATAAAGAGAAAGAGTGAGCACATACCAGCCGGCTGGTATATCGATTCATCTTGTCAAATATATATTTAATGTAATGTTATGCACTGATTTTTCTATTTTCAACCAGTTTAAAAATGCCTACAAAATGTCTTCATGGATTAAGCTCTGGCCAAATGGGCAAGTGATTTACACAATAGGATCGTTTAGTAAGTATTACCCATACCTTTCGATCAGCGGCTATCTATCCCTCATCCTCTAAGCGCATGATGAGCATCACTCTCGGCAGTTTTCATATCATGGCGAATCATTGAAATAGAGAAAGTCCAAACAAACTTGCAATATACATGTTATATCCAAATAATCAAAAACTACTCATTTCAACCACGGACTTTATAAACCATGATTTTGGATAGGTATATACAATCGTCTTCATCTTTTTGACCTAAGGTGCAAAGGGGAGAGCGATGATCAATGCTGCTATGGCACAAATTACCAGACAAACGGATGGATGCATCACGTTCAAACAAAGAACATATGAAAGAGACTACCTGGATATAACTCAAAAATCTGGGTAAAATCATCGATTTGCAATTTACATAAAATGCTGATTTCTATTATTCGGTTTGGATGTACCCTAAAAAATAATGTCCTGCCTTCATATTTATGATCTTTTCTGATACATCCTAATTTAGGCAACGAACATTTTTTGAATAAAAATAACTGATGCACTCCTTCCGATAGATGTTGGTCTTATATCGGAATGCAGTACGACTTCGGGGCTGCGACCGTGTCGCTCGATGAACCAGCGTGTACTTATGGCAACGGAACTGCGATGCACGAATTTGTCCATGCATTGGGGTTCTGGCATGAACATACTCGCTCAGACAGGGACAATTACGTCAGCATAGACTTCAGTAACATTCTTGACAGTACGTTAGTTAAATAGTATTCAATCGTATCCCAATTGAGCAATTGGCTCACATCCCCCAGGGTGTCCACAAAGTCCTTAATCACACGGGACGTAGTCTAATAATTGAGTCAGACAATGAATGAACATGCGTTCAGTCTCTTTCCATATGGGGCTTTGTCCCCACTGGGTCCCTAGACTCCACATTTGCCCATGTGTCCAGCGCCAGTGTCTTTAATTATTCAATGGTTCTGGTTTCCTTGTTTACGTGGAGAGTTTGAACTATTGCGATTACTATATTCTTTTTTTTTTATTTGAAAATATTATAAATTAATGATCTGAGTCGCATGGAAACAAAATTACGGAAAATTACAATGTATCAATTGTTTCTTTAAACATAATAGAATACTGGCAATCATGAACAACATAGAAGAAGATATATTTATTGTTTATCACGTTCTGAGTCACTTATCACACTCACGAAGGCTTTTGTTTTATACAAAACAATTTTATCCAAAGGGATTCCGTCTTTGCAACTTCTAGCTTACGTATGTCAAAAATATCTGAACTTCGCCAGATATATCACAATTGGGATAATATAATACAATTGAATGACAAATGGTAATAATTGCTTTCCTATTCAGTTTATAAGATACAAATATTTGTTGATACTTTAATTATATCTGCATTTTCTTTCGATTGTTGCTTACAAGAAATGTTCACCTATTTTTACATTAAGATGTTGATTTTCATCAAATTGTATTATTAATTTTGTAGTACACGCCATCTTTTAGTTATCTTCAACCAGGGTTTATTTGTCTACATTTCTATGCACTTAACTTTAACCTGATGGTATTGCCAAAACGCGGTTAAAGCCACGCCGGTTATTTGTCGGGCTTATGGTGAAAGGCATCTTATTCTTCTAGTATCATGAACTTATTATTTTATGTTGTTTTCTTGTTTCCTATGTGGCCTACATGTGTATCTGATTGTAGGTCAAAGGGATAATTTTGAAAAGCAAGACACAGACAACCTGGTTGGGTATGATTTCGACAGTATAATGCACTACTCTAACTACGCATTTAGTAAAAATGGAGGGATGACGATACACCCAAAGAAGGCAGGAGTAAAGATCGGACAGCGGGCAAGGCTCTCAGCGCTGGACGTCCAAGAAATCAAGGCGCTCTACAAGTGTGACACAGGTGGCAAAACACAAACTCAAACTAAAACTAGAACTAGAACTAGGAATAATCGTCGTCGTGGTGACGAATAATCTTCTGTCTGGTGTTGGTTAATTAAAAATGATGTACACATGTTTGTGTGATTATAATAAAGCACATACAAACTAGAACGGTGTGAAGTTACTATTTAGAAGAAATGTTTAGTACTTGGTAGTAATTATTATCTTAGTTCCCATCCATGGTGACCTAGTTTTGATTATCAAATACTTCTATTGATACAAACAAGGACAGTTAAGTGACGGAAAAGACTTTCACTTTACATAAACTGGAACTAGGGCAATGTGTACTGCTTGTCTGTAATGAAAATAGTGAATTTTAAAGTAGTAGGTACGATATTGTCCACCATTTGTCTCGTCACATTTTGTAGTTCTCTGCGCTTGTTGATTAACGGATGACACTTTTATGAGTTCTTGATTGTCACAGTGATACTGCTGTTCTCTCTGTTCATTCTGCTATCCATACTTTACAGTTGGTTGAAAAAATGTTCCATAACCGACAAATAAAATGCCTCGCTCCAGTTACAGCAACTCAAAATGAAAGTTATTCTCAATTAGTTTAAGTTAAAAAAGTTATATTAATTTATTTTAAGGGATGTACTATCAGAAAAATGGTATGATCATTTTATCCATTATACCATAGATCAATCCACAAATAGCAATCTACCATATTGGAATTTTCTTCATTTTATGAAACGAGAGCCAAAAATTACCCCAGTGTGATATATTGTCACTGTGACAAGAATTGTCACACAAATAGTTCTTAAATAAACCTCCCGTTTGTTTGGCCTCAAGTTTGATTCAGACCGGATCATTCTAGTTTGATGCTTAAATTTGGAACATCCATTAGAATACTTTACATAGCAGGGACATCTATAAAAGGGAGGTATATCTTATTCCTGACTGTTTTAAACTTAAGCACCATTCCGAGCAAGAATGGCACTATAGGAGCGAGGCATTTGTGTTCGTTAATGTTGGAGAACGTTTCGATCGCCATTTAGAGGCAAAAGAATAATTGATGTATGCCAGGGAAGTAGTCTGTTGAGTCTGAACATCTTAAACGTCTCTCTATTCACTGGGCCTCATATTCTTGTTTAATGCTGTATCCAGGTCAGATTTAGACACGGTGGGGTAGTTCACATCTTTACCACATCATCAATTATGAGCAGTTTATGTGTATTTTCTGAAATAGTTTAGTCTGTTCATGTATGTCAAAGATTTCTATTTTCCGTTGGAGGAATGGCGATGAGTATCAGGATTCGGCACGTTTTGGTTGGCTTGTATACTGAGGAGGTAGTGAAATAGGGACAATGTGGATAAACTACAGATAATGTGTCTATTCCCAATGCTATGTTCTAGATTGCAGAAGGCTCGAGCGACAAATGAAAATCAAATATACAAGATGTTTACTTTATTGTTTGTTTCACAGGAAGCCCAACGCATACAGAAGCTCCCAGAACTGTGGAACCAACAACTCCAAGACCAACGTTTAAACCTTATACGTTCAAACCATACACATCTAAACCATACACAGTCAAACCGTACATACCACCAACAACTCAGGCACCAGGTGGACCAATATATGGTGAGTCCCATCTACTTGATATAGATGAATGTACTTTACAATTTACTCTCCAATTTAAAAACTAATGTTGGAAAGGAGGATGTTAAAAGTAAACGCTTTGACCAAAGTTATCAATTTCAGAGATATTCAGAAAAATATCTTGCCAATTTTGTCTCTTTATTAGGAGCCGCGCAGTTTACGTGCACATTTGAGACGGATGCATACTGTGGGCTGAAAAACCTGTTCACATTTGAGGGCAATGGAGCTATGTTGTGGAAGAGGCAGTCAGCTAGGGAGGCAAGAAAGAAACCTAAAAGTGAAGTGAATTTTCACTCAAGAAATCAGGGTATGTACTATATTAGGTTGATAGAAATATGGCAATAGTGTCTTGTCTGCATAGAAGATAAACTAAAAGAGTAGTAGGAAATTCACAGGTTTTTCGTTACCTGAAGATACAGAGAAAGGCACATATATTTGAATTCTGTAATTTTTACTGCACTTCTGTCATTTCCTTTTGACCATACCTTTGGTGGGTATGATATCAATGAACAGTTTATATTTTCAGTAAATTATTTTGCTGAGCTTTAAAGTGGTTCATACGAATAAGTATTTGATAGATTCATGAACTCAAACACTGTTTTCTAACGACATTTTCAGTAATTGTTCACTATCCACAATCAAGTTGTTCTTGTTCTTTTCCCTGAACAGGTTGGTACATGATGGCAAAGGGGTCAAGCTGTTCCACGCCGCAGACATGCATTGCTATTCTAGACTCAGAGTGGATCTCAGGCGGGGATTACTGCCTATTGTTCAACCACTTCATCTACAATAGCGACAGTAGAATCACATTGTTTATTGTAAGTGATGGATCTGCTAGTATCAGGCCAATAAGGAGTTGGGGTAGTGGCACAGCAGCATTTCAACCATCTATAATTCCTATCCATGAAGATGGACGCTTCCAGGTAAGTAGTCTGAATTTTGTAGACCCCCTTCATTGGGCTTATATCACTTTCACCGACGTTTTCACTTTCGATCTCTCGAATCGAATTTCAATGTTCCAATCCTATAATCTTCCATTGTTTCATAAAGTAATAAACCTTGAATTGTGAACACCTACTTATCAAAACACCTGGAATCAGTCTTGTCGTAGACGAAAATTGTTTCTCTATAATAAATCCATATTTATCTTTTCTAGGTGAGAATCCAGGCTGAAGTTAACACTGGAGATGTAAGCATTGACAACATTCAACTGAGACCCAAACCCTATCAAGGAGGCTGTGGAAATCTCAACATATTCTCATCTTAACTCAACCCTATCATAATCACTATGCAACTACGAGTGGCTTGGAATTATATATATAGCTGAGAAATATTATAATGTTTATAATTCCAGTTAGCCATCAGGAAGACAATATAATCTTGCTTACTTTAGTAATCCTTGGATGGTTCAAAGACATATGAAACAGTTTGTTTCTGGATGGTTATTTAGACAATCAAAGATCAAATATGTATTTGGTGGATATTATTCTGCTTTTATTCATATTTTGACATTATGCAATCGTGATAACTTTCTGTTCTCAAAGATTCTATTAACCTAATAATAAATATGCAAATATCATAAAACTGTACTGTTATCAATATTTGAAATCGAAATAAATATTTTAGAATAACTATCTCTCATACTTATGTGAAATTAATTACAAAGAAAATATTTTGAACTAATTGTGTTCCTTAAAAATAGAGCTTATATTGATCTGTTGATAGATGTTAGTTTATACAATCACCTTCCAATTTCAGAAATAGCACCATGTATCATTTACCAAACAATTTCGGAAAATAGGCACATGTACGTGTATGCTAAGAAATTATGAGCCAACAGACTCTAAGGATTATTCGGAAAACTTCTATAGTACTATTAATTTCTCAGATTCTACCTTTAATGGAATTGTAATCTGAAGATTGATTACCTTTTTTCAGTGGTTTGACTCCACATTTTAAAAGAAAGATTTACTTGTACTCTTCAAATAAGAGATAATCCTTTAATCTTGACTCAATCAGAATAAGTCAATCAAAATCCAGCTACTCAATCAGAAATGGAGACACGGAATTCTATCTTCTCATTAGCTGACATTTAAATCACATTCAACTCCCATGTAAAACGATTTTATTATAGAATTATTTCATGAAGCTGTAGTGTTCTGGGTACTTGCGCTCTTTGATAGGCAAAAATAAGTGTAACACATCGAAGTAAGTTTGTTGTTAATATGATGACGTAATTTTATTATAAATTACATAATGTAACAATTCTTTTTGCCGATGGGGCTAACAACCGAATATAAGTTAACTCGCCCAAGTTTAATATTCCATTTCAGATAATAATGTAATGGACGAGTCATAAGTTAAAATGTCACTTTGTCATCATAGACATTACTAATGCGTAATCTAATGTGTGGATGTAGGATCATTACTTTTATTTCCCTCTTAATTAGTTGTTATGCATTTGATTGATATTAATTAGAAATATGATTGCCTACAATTATAAGAACACAATTTTGATGTCTTCAAGCATCTGCTGTTTTAACTAGAATGAGCATTTGACAGCCTATCAATAATTTGATCAGAAGCGTTTCTGTACGACGGGGCCGTTTTCTCTATTCTTGCAGCTTATTCTGTACGGAATGGTTATTTTTATTGCGTGTATAATCCCCAGTCGGAGGACCATGTAAAAAATCTCATGGATAATAACCTTAATCATTCCCGTGACTATGTTTTTAGACAAATAAGGCATATTTTACCCTTTTAACATGTTCAAATAAAATGTTATCAATTTACCATCCTACGATTCTCTTTTCCAAGATCAGAAGATGCGACCCATACATTCATAATTAACAAATGAGATTGGTTGAAGAAATTAAGTTCCAATTGCATACTTTTGTGGTAATTACTATAATGATAATCCCTCCAATTCAAATGTCCTGCAATATATAAATGAATAGGATGTAGAAGTTTAATTAATATATCAACTTACTCGTATCATTAATCCAAAAAGTCATTCTGCTGAGAAACGAACGAAGGAAAGGTTCCATTTGATGAAATAAGGCATAAGACGCAAAATGAAAGTGTCACATGTTGTTTTGGTAAGCTGTGTGGTTGTCTTGATGGCAGTAGCCAAGCCCAGAGGAACTTCAAATGAAAAGGTAAGATTGTACATATAAAGAAAAAACGGGTAAATCAGTCCTTTGTTTATAGATTTCATATAATACTTTTCATATTATGTCACCACCACAAAGGGTACCAAATTGTAATAGTCTCCAACTTCTTTTGTCGACGATGTTTGGCGGGTGGTGTTCGGTGGTTGGTGATCGGCGTCAATAACAAATAGCAGGTGGTGCCATTTTGCTAAGTTTAAAAATTGTACTTTTCTAATCTGGAATACAGTGTTTTTTTGGGTGATTTGGTAGTATTGATTTGCAACCAATGAGCTTTCACCAACCCTTAAAAACAAATGTTCTCGTCTGCACAACAACATAACCATCAGTGACCAAATATTCACACACAGCTAGGTATCACATAACACATTCTAGTCAATCAGATTTGCCATTTTATATCTTACAATAGGCGAGTGATTAAAAAGAGAATGGTAATAATAGAAAAAATATATACATTAAGTGAAAAACTATTGAAATGTTTTACAATGATTCACGAAATAGGTGTAAAAAATAGATGAAAAAGTTCTAGTTCAATTTGATTCTTTTTAATGGATTTGTATGGGCTATGGGAAAACGATCCCCAATGTTAACACTTTCAGAGTACGAACGATGATCCAACACCCAATGAGATTGAGACACAGGCTGGTGAAGACAATCTAGAAGACAGTGGTGAGGACAATGATTGGAGCAATGGAGAGGACGATGCTGATGAAAGAGGTGGGGGCAGTTCAGAATATGAAACAACCGCGGAAGTTAACAATGGAAATCCCGATGAAAAACCAAACGGAGGTAAGAAATTAAAGGATGATAAAGATACAGACGGGTTGAGAGCAGGTTTCAAAAATGTCATCGTTTTACCGTATCTATATTTTACTTTCATCATTCCATGTCAAGCCTATTTTAAAACACCAACAATTCTGATTTTTATTCAAGAGAATTATTAGATTTTTAAGGCTACAGATGTGGCCCCAAAAGTGGACTTATCCTTTATAATTCTAATGAATTTGGATATCTCTGCATCTTAGTCAAAAATTGAAAACCTGAAAACTGTCACAGGTAGAGATCAAATAGCACTCTCCGGTAAAATTTGCACGGTCCGAAAAAAATCGCGCTGTCTTTAAAAAACACGTACGGGTAGGTCATAAAACTGCATCTAAATAACAATTTACAACAATTATCCTGTCTGGTTATTATCTATTAAGTCGAATCACATATTTACCTCCCCTATTCATCCATGACTGACATCACCTTGTCACAAGTTTCTTCATAAATTTGCACACAGTTAAGATGTCAATTTTTATGCAGTCTCACGAACAACCTAAAAATATGTAAGTATCCTAAAAACCAAACATGAAACACATTCTGCTAGCTGAATATACTATCAAAAATAAGCTAGGTCGATGAATAGAGCCTTCGTTTTGAAATAATTGCAAAAATCTCACGATTTTTTTACCTGATCGTGCGGATTTTACTGGAGAGTGCTGTTTGATCCCTTAGATCTAATGAACTTAAGATTTAAGTTTCCCTAAGAAACGTTGGCATGCTTCTGACATTTAGAAGTTATTGTGTCCTGTATACTTTCAAATCCAGTTTCTTGGTATTCAATTTATCTTTTTTGAAATCTTTGTTTTAAAAGTCTTTTTGCAATATCTTTACTCTTCACTTGTAAAGTTAAGACCAGTTTGACTTGAATGGTATGATATGAATTCACACGGTGTGGAAAATCTGCAAAACGACCTTTTGATTAATGCTATTCATACTTTTCTCTATTTAAAGGGACCCACCACCATGGTCACATGATCAGTCGTGTGGAGGTAAGCTCCCAGTTGAAATAAAAGCACTGTCCTCCTTTGGTTTCTGTGAAAAGTAGCTAATACCCTCATGTATTGGTCAGTTTGTGTGTCACACGACTAATCCATACAATATGCTTCATTCAACATATTTTATGCTATTGAGCTGCATATATAAACAGTACTTTGCAACTAAGGTCATACAGTATACTTACCCCTTGCAAATTGTAATTTATTGAATTCACAGTAAACCCATCGATTTTTAAGAAAACAAAGAATATTGTTTTCATGGATCTATTATTTATGTTAGACTAACTATGAAAATATAAATATGAAATAATATGTTAGCTTGAAGTCATATATAAGATGAAAATATATGTTCATGCATTTGCATTTTTCCAAAGGGAATATTCCCATGTAAGTAAATACAGGTGCAATCTATTATTTATATGTATATCTATGTCATCTGTCTATACATGCCCGTATAGCCTAGTGTTACATGTGAACAAGATGGTTCTGGAAAGAAATGAGCGTGGCAGATTTGCTAAAAAGCCACATACACCACAAAAGCAAGACCAATTTGAAAGTAAGTTCATTATTCTCAAGGGTACACTTCAAGTGAAAGCTACATTGCTACAGGGTGGCCTATCATTCTGAGACAAATGTATTATCCAACGATTGTGATTTTCGAAGCTAAAATATGATATCTTGAGCAGATGGAAATACATTCCCATGAGATATGTATATATAGTCAAAAGTGATAACTATTTATTGAGTGTAATGAAATGTATCCTTCGCTAACTGCTTTTGTTTGAGATAATTATCATGAAATATTTTTAAATTAATTTTTATGTGTGTCATTGATCCTAATCCACCCTGTAGTCTGGTGTTTGTAGAGCATTGCACCTCGTACAACTTATTCTCACAAATATCAAACCTCATTTACTAATTAATTTTTTGTGTAAATATGAAGAGTCCAAGCATTGCTTTTTTATGTTTATTGTATAGCTATATTTAGCCTTGATATACATGATTTTTTAAAACAAAATCTCACCGTTAGATTTCGAGCTATTCATGTTTACTCATTTTTCTAATTGGAAAACAATGCAAATCTCATTTTTTCAAAAGAAAAAAATTGAAATTCTAAGACGGTGAAAAATCATTAAAAAATACACAGATTCAGAATCCGGCAAGCATTTTCCCTTATTCCTCTCCGTTAAGAAGTTTTGTAAGGTGTTGGGTCCCTTTAAGCGCTTCGATATCTGCACACTTATTGCAAAATCGATGGATTGCTTTTGTGTTCTCCTGTATTACCATTTGGATTTGTTTATTACAGAAAGTAATATTGTCGAAGGAGACATTAAACTGAGGGATGGTACGAAGAAGGTAAATATTATTGGATCCGATGACATACAGAAGACATTAACTTTTTCAGAAAAAATTTAGAGTTAGGGGCAAGGTTAATCTGATACCTTAAAAATCTATATTGATGTTCACGCCTTGGAACAACGGTTTTAAGCAACGAAAAATTGATTGGGCCATTGATAATTTGAATTTTGAAGACGGTCACCTGGAATTGTTTATGGAATTCTAAACGTCCCATGCATGTGCTGTGTGCGCCTCAATTAATATTGGGTATATAATAATAGACTATATTCTAGTCTCTATTTCTTGCTTTTTCTTAGAAAGTTAAATAAAACAGAGTGCACATAGCGTGCTAGTGGATCCGATATATCTAATCAAATTTGTTATGAAATCAATTAAAAGTTATGCATTGATCTTTATATTTTCAACCAGTTTAAAAATGCCTACAAAATGAATACATGGATTAAGCTCTGGCCAAATGGGGAAGTGATTTACACAATTGGATCGTTCAGTAAGTATTACCCATATATTTCGACATATTAGCGGCTATTATATTGTATATCCCTCATCCTCTAGAGTAAGCGCATGATGAGCATCACTCTCTCGGCAGTTTTCATATCATGGCGAATCATTGAAATAGAAAAAGTCCAAACAAATTTGCATTATACATGTTATATCCAAATAATCAAAAACTACTCATTTCAACCACGGACTTTATAAACCATGATTATGGATAGGTATATACAATCGTCTTCATCTTTTTGACCTAAGGTGCAAAGGGGAGAGCGATGATCAATGCTGCTATGGCACAAATTACCAGACAAACGGATGGATGTATCACGTTCAAACCAAGAACATATGAAAGAGACTACATGGATATAACTCAAAAATCTGGGTAAAATCGTAGATTTGCAATTTATTTATATCTTAGAATGTTTTCAATTACGCTGTTTGGAGGTTCCCCAAAATTTACAGTCCTTCATATTTATGGTCTGTACTGATAACCCTAACATAGGCAACGAACAATGTCGGAATAAATGTCAATCTTTCCAATAGGTGTTGGTCTTATATCGGAATGCAGTACCGCTTCGGGGCTGCGACCGTGTCGCTCCAAGAGCCAGCCTGTACTTATAGCAATGGAACTGCGATACACGAATTTGTCCATGCATTGGGGTTCTGGCATGAACATACTCGCTCAGACAGGGACAATTACGTCAGCATAGACTTCAATAACATTTTTGAAAGTACGCCAGCTAAATATTTAATCGTATCCCAATTGGGCAATTGCCTTACGTCCCAAAGGGAGTCCCGCGACATCCTGAATCCCGTGGGACGCAGTACAACTCCTATCTAGTCATACAATAAATGAACATGTTCAGTATTATCATCGGACTTTGCCCTCACTGGGCATGATCATTGGATCCCATTAGACTTAAAAAAATTTCACGTCTTTGGTCTTAAAAATTTTGGTCAGTTTACAGGAGGAGTTTGAACTATTGTGATTACTGTTTTCTATAATTAAAGGTATATTCCTTGCCAGATCACCTCTCTCCTAATACGGTGCTATAACCATATTTTCCATGTTTAGCAAAACATGAAAAAATGTTTTAATATGGTCAGTATTGTAGATCACTTAAAAATGTAGTCCTTCTAAAAGTTTCTTCTTTTATTCTAAGCTGACAAGCTCTGAAGATATTTTTGCACATGAAGTATACTAGTAAGGACCACTTGTCTAGAAGTGATTCTGTGCTACTTTCCTATACTCTTATAGGCAATGTTATGACTATGAGAGTTGAGAGTCGATGACATCACTTCCTGAGTGAAATCTTAAAGGATGGCAGCTTACTGGAAATGCTAAAAAATAAAATAAATGCTTACTGAGCTCTACATTTTTAAATGATCCATATTGACTATATTAAACATTCTCCCGTGTTTTGTTAAAATTTTATAGCTATCATATGAGGATAGAAATGGTCTGGTCGGGAATGTCCCTTTAATGATCCGAGTCAAATAGTATTGAGAGAATAAAGCAATTACATTTATGAACAATAAGAAAATATTTATAATATAATATTATTATATAATCATTCAGTTCATTCATATAGCATATGGGTTTTAAAATAAATGCTGGATATCTTCAAAATATTTGGCAGATCATTCCAGTTATCAGGAACTTTAATTTTTATTTCTACGTTCAAGGCATTTCACCCTCATATGGTGCCATTGCCCAAAATCTCGATTAAAGAGGGGAAAGCCACATGCGGGATTTATTCGTCAAGTTTATGGTCAACGCCATCTCATTCTTTTAGAATCATAAAATTATTATTTATGTACCTGTATTTGATTGTAGATCAAAGGGATAACTTTGTAAAGCAAGACACAAACAACCTGGCTGATTACGATTTCAATAGTATAATGCACTACTCTTCCTACGCATTTAGTAAAAATGGAGGAATAACGATACGCCCAAAGCAAGCAGGAGTAAAGATCGGACAGCGGGCGAAGCTTTCAGCACTGGACGTCCAAGAAATCAAGGCGCTCTACAAGTGTGACACAAACTGAAACTAGAACTAGAGTAATCATTTAGAACTAGAATAATCATGATAATAACCGCAGTTACGAATAATCTCCTGTCTGATATTGCTTGTCTTGATTAGAACATGTTTGTGTGATTATAATAAAATACATACAAACTAGAACGGTGTGCACTTACTATTAAAAGTATTGTTTAGGTTAGTGCTTTTTAGTAATCATTACCCTAGTTCCCATGCATGATGACCTGATTTTAATTATTGTATTAGCCATGCACATTCAGGGTCAGGTAAATAGTAATGAAAACAAGGACACGAGTTTGTTCGCTGTGTGTCTTGTTATCATGTTTTGCTCTCTGCCCTCTTCTCCGTGCTCATTTTGTTATACATGTACATGGGAAGATTACAATTATTTGAAAGATAGTCCATCACCGACAAAACTCGGCCCAGTTACGGTTACTCTAAATGAAAGTGATTCTCAAATAGTTAAAGTTCAGTTCCAAGCAGATTTTGAGATAACAGGAAAGTAAATTTGGGTTGTTTTGGTTTGTATCGCAACCAAAAAAGGTGTGTATTAAAGATAAAGTTTCCTGTTATCTCAAAATTTGCTTGGAACTGAACCATTGGAAATTCCTCAAAGAGAAAATTCTAGTGATTAAGGAATGTGTACCATTTACACAATTTGAGAAGTTATTGGCAGACATACATCAAACCAATCAGATCAATGATTCCCAGTCCTCTTAGTTTGAAAATACCTGGATTTTAATTCATAGATAATCCTTGAAAATGAGAAATATTTTGGGGGATTACATGGTGCAATCTTATAGTCAATAAAATGTTTTAAAGTGTGTTGATGTTTTTGGGATGAAACACATAAGCGAAATGCATGAAAAACTCCCCCGATTCATTCTACAAACAACTCCCCCTCCTTTTGGAAAGCAATACCTTCAAGAAATGGTCATCCCACACATTGCACTGAGTCCAGGCCATAAATTCTCAAATAATGTCGAATTTACCCAAGAGTATAGAACTATAAGTATTTTATTCATTTACTCCACTGATCAGTTCACGAATAGCAAAATCTTAATATACCGTTTTCACCTTGAAATGTATTATACCTCAAGTTTGTTTGACCAGTGGAGTAATAGATAAAATACTATAGTTATACATTTTTAACATCCCTGGGTAAACTCAAAATCCCTAGAGTAAATGGTCCTAAAATATTATACAGAAATTAAGACCATTTACTCAGTTTAGCTGGCCAACGAGTCATTTGTGTCCGTACATGTTTTCAGATTCCAACGTTGGAACATCCCCTTACCTTACTTTGTCACTATAAACCAGTGGAGTGGGCCTTCCAACTTGTTTTACGTGAACATAATATCCTTCATCAACTAATCAAATGTATAATCGTAGACTACGTCAGTATCTATGTAGACTAAGTCAGTAGCTTCCCTGCTTTTTGTCTTCTCAGTGTCAAACATCATGGTGACTCGAGTGTTGAAACAGGCGTATATATTCTCCAGAAAGATGAAGAGGCAGAGTTAAACAAGAAATCGCCAACTCCACAGAATAGCAAATCCCAACTAACACTATATTCATGGATCTGTATACACCATTTACTCTACCCTTAATTAAATTGGCAGATATTTTATGACATACATTAGCGATAATTCAAAGTTCCACCAATGAATGTAGATTCATGTGTGAGAGTATTGGTACATGTAGGATCCATTTTAAATAATAAAAAAGTGGTACTTAAACAGGACATTAAAGTTTTACTAAATCATGGCCTTTTTGAAAATTTTAGGTTAGCCCTGCAAGTTAGTCATAATTTAGACAATCAAAGATCAAATATGTATTTGGTAGATATTATTCGGTCTTTATTATATATTTACATTATACGTACAAAGTCATGTACAATGATGATTAGTGTTTCTGTATTCAAAGATTCCATTTAGACCTACCTAATAATGAATGTACAAATCTTATTAAACTGCACTATTTTATTGGAATTCAAAATAAATACTTTAAATTAACTCGTGTTATCCTCATACATACTCGCCTGCACTCATCAAATAAGAGATAATCCTTTAACAATCAGAATAGGTCAATTAAAATCCAGCTACCCAATCAGAAATGAAGACACAAAATTTTATCTCCTCATTAGTAGCTGGAATTTAGTTCACATTCAAACTCCTTTAGTAGGCAATGACAGCAATTTTTAAATCACAACTATTGATTTGTTTATCCTATTGACATGATTGAGAGGGATGTAATTATTACTCCTAGCCTAAAGGTAAGGATTGATCACTTACAAAATATTCCTAAGATCTATACATTTGCCTGAGCCTTTTAGTAATAGAATGGGCTACCTTGCATTGTAACTGTGCATAACAAAAAAAACAACACTTGTACAAAATTATGTTACATGTCCTTTTTATATCAATACTAAACTAGATAACAGCAACGCCAAAGCGTAGCAAATCCCATCCCGTCTTGCATTTTTACAAACGAAGTATATAGCAAAAATCGTAAAGTAGCATATAATAAATGGCCACCATTTTCAAAATGGTTGCTCACTGGCCAAATTGTCATCAGAAAGTGAAATATGTTTCTAAGTAGGCAAATATAAAATTTCAACAAAATTGACGTATATGTAAATTTTTCAAAATGGCCGCCTACTTGCCAAAATGCCATGCTTATGAGTATTCACATATCAAATATGAAAAAATCGCTCTATTACTTGTTGAGTTATAGTAAAAAAAGTAAAATAACTCACGTAAATGTTTTTATATTTTTTTGAAAAATGGCCACCTACTCCCCAAAATGCCATTAGACAGTGTGGCATGCTTATAGTATTCACATATCAAATATAAACAAAATCGCTACACTACTTTTCGAGTTATAGTAAAAAACATAAAAATTGTGGCCATTTTTCAAAATGGCCACCTACTACCAAAAGTATCATTATACAGTGTGCCATGCTTTAAGTATTCATATACCAAATACAAAATCACTCCAGTACTTTTCGAGTTACAGCAAAAATCGCAAAATAGCGTACATTTTTCAAGATGGCTGCCATGTGCTTCTTAATATCTACATTTCTAGCCAGGGGGAGATTTTCCAAAGATGACCTTTCGTATTGGCACGTTCGAAAATAAATTTTATTAACAGGCCTCATTTGCCATTGAAATGGATCTCCAAATGTTCGCTGTAGTTTTATGAGTATTCTCTACAAGTATGGATCGAGTAACTCCAATAGTATAACTGTAAGTTTGAAATGATGATGTTGAACTGATGTTATCACCATTCCCACGATTTTAAATCTAACTTTGCGCATACGCAGCACTGAGAGAGCACGTGTTCATGATTGTTCACGTGATCACATCCTGCAATTTGATTGGAGATGATGTAATTGGGAATCCTCGAATACGATAGAACATGAAAGAATTGTGGGAGCTACTCACTTCTTCTGATTTCTAGCTTTATTAATGTCCTATATAATTTTTTTACATTTAAAACATGTTGCTATAACAGTTTCACATATTGTACCTAAATTACTGTAAAATCGGCACTAAAATGGCCGCCATTTTGAAGCTAGCGACCATTTTGAAAATCGGCTTTCGAGCAGAACTTCTACCCCCATAGAGCATATGTGTACAAAATATGAACAAAATTGGCCCAACGGTATTTGAGTTAGCGCCCGGACAGAAGGACAGATGGACAGACAGAGGTGTTCCCTATATCCCTCAGAACTTATTCGATGGGATAAAAATTTGCTATAATTATATATATAATTAATGCTTTAATATCTGATCAAACTGATCTTTAACATATTATAATACTTTAGATAATGAGTATTTTAAATTATACATGAAATACTTCAATTTGATTCCCAACAAACAATATTAATCTGTTGCAAAATTTTCTCACCAGTGTGCTCCATCCTAATTTTACCCCTTTAGGCAGGGTTCAAACAGATTTTCCACAAGGTGGCAAGTACTTCTCAAATTTCTAACTGGTTGTCGCACTTCCTTGCACAAATACAATGAAAATCACTATAAAGCTTCAGTTGGTCTTTATCCGATTAATTTGCAAATTGGTAAAAATGTCATCCAGAATAGTCTTGCTTCAAGCCTTTGTGATCCCTCTCACACCTCAACTCCATGAAGGAAATGAAGTAGATAGATGGGGAGGGGTGGGGGCAGGGACTTGATGTAAGACTTGCTTTAGGAATTAGAATATCTGTAAGTGTTACAAATTGCAGGTATCTCATTGAGTTGATTGTCTCATGGAGTTGTCTCTCTCATTAAGTTAGGTCTCTCCTTCAGTCTCTTCCACAACAGGAACATAATCTTTCCCCTCCTCCTGTGCTTTCCTGATGTCTCTCTTGATAACACACAGTGTGACCAGGAACAACAGGGCAGATAATACATACAGGCCTGGGTAAAGTATGTACAGAGCACCTGCAACAACAGATAATACATGAAGGGCTGGGTAAAGTATGTACAGAGCATGCGCCTGCATCAGCAGATAATACATGTAGGCCTGGGTAAAGTATGTACAGAGCACCTGCAACAACAGATAATACATGAAGGGCTGGGTAAAGTATGTACAGAGCACCTGCAACAACAGATAATACATGAAGGGCTGGGTAAAGTATGTACAGAGCACCTGCAACAACAGATAATACATGAAGGGCTGGGTAAAGTATATACAGATCACCTGCAACAACAGATAATACATGTAGGCCTGGGTAAAGTATGTACAGAGCATGCATCTGCTACAACAGATAATATAAATAGGCCTGGGTAAAGTATGTACAGAGCACCTGCAACAACAGATAATATATATAGGCCTGGGTAAAGTATGTACAGAGCACCTGCAACAACAGATAATACATATAGGCCTGGGTAAGTATATACAGAGCACCTGCAACAACAGATAATACATGAAGGGCTGGGTAAAGTATGTACAGAGCACCTGCAACAACAGATAATACATGAAGGGCTGGGTAAAGTATGTACAGAGCACCTGCAACAACAGATAATACATGAAGGGCTGGGTAAAGTATGTACAGAGCACCTGCAACAACAGATTATACATGAAGGGCTGGGTAAAGTATGTACAGAGCATGCGCCTGCATCAGCAGATAATACATGTAGGCCTGGGTAAAGTATGTACAGAGCACCTGCAACAACAGATAATACATGAAGGGCTGGGTAAAGTATGTACAGAGCACCTGCAACAACAGATAATACATGAAGGGCTGGGTAAAGTATGTACAGAGCACCTGCAACAACAGATAATACATGAAGGGCTGGGTAAAGTATGTACAGAGCATGCGCCTGCAACAGCAGATAATACATGTAGGCCTGGGTAAAGTATGTACAAAGCACCTTCAACAACAGATAATACATGAAGGGCTGGGTAAAGTATGTACAGAGCACCTGCAACAACAGATAATACATGAAGGGCTGGGTAAAGTATGTACAGAGCACCTGCAACAACAGATAATACATGTAGGCCTGGGTAAAGTATGTACAGAGCACCTGTAACAACAGATAATACATGTAGGGCTGGGTAAAGTATATACAGATCACCTGCAACAACAGATAATATATATAGGCCTGGGTAAGTATATACAGAGCACCTGCAACAACAGATAATACATGTAGGCCTGGGTAAAGTATATACAGAGCACCTGCAACAACAGATAATACATGAAGGGCTGGGTAAAGTATGTACAGAGCACCTGCAACAACAGATAATACATGTAGGGCTGGGTAAAGTATATACAGATCACCTGCAACAACAGATAATACATTTAGGCCTGGGTAAAGTATATGCAGAGCACCTGCAACAACAGATAATACATGAAGGGATGGGTAAAGTATGTACAGAGCACCTGCAACAACAGATAATACATGTAGGGCTGGGTAAAGTATATACAGATCACCTGCAACAACAGATAATACATGTAGGCCTGGGTAAAGTATGTACAGAGCATGCATCTGCTACAACAGATAATATAAATAGGCCTGGGTAAAGTATGTACAGAGCACCTGCAACAACAGATAATATATATAGGCCTGGGTAAAGTATGTACAGAGCACCTGCAACAACAGATAATACATATAGGCCTGGGTAAAGTATATATAGAGCACCTGCAACAATGGATAATACATATAGGCCTGGGTAAAGTATGTACAGAGCACCTGGAACAATATATAATACATATAGGCCTGGGTAAAGTATATATAGAGCACCTGCAACAACGGATAATACATATAGGCCTGGGTAAATTTTGTGCAGAGCACCTGCAACAACAGATCAGACAGATAGGCCTGGGAAAGTATATAAAGAGCACCCACACCAACAGATAATACATGCAGGCCTGGGTAAAGTATATACAGAGCACCTGAAACAACAGATAATACATGTAGGCCAGGGTAAAGTATATACAGAGCACCTGCAACAACAGATAATATATATAGGCCTGGGTAAGTATATACAGAGCACCTGCAACAACAGATAATACATATAGGCCTGGGTAAAGTATGTACAGAGCATGCATCTGCTACAACAGATAATATATATAGGCCTGGGTAAGTATATATAGAGCACCTGCAACAACGGATAATACATATAGGCCTGGGTAAATTTTGTGCAGAGCACCTGCAACAACAGATAAAACAGATAGGCCTGGGTAAGTATATAAATTGAGCACCAACAACAACAGATACATGCAGGCCTGGGTAAAGTATATGCAGAGCACCTGCAACAACAGATAAGACAAATAGGCCTGGGTAAGTATATACAGAGCACCTGCAACAACAGATAATACATATAGGGCTGGGAAAATAATATACAGAGCACCTGCAACAAAAAGATGCAATGGTAGAAGACAAATCCCGTACATTATGACAAGAAAATTCAGTAATACTGCAAAATTTAATGAAAAACTTATTATTTCACTGATATTTTGTTCATCAAATTGATATAGGCAGATTCATGTAATACATCACTGTACAGATCTCAATGCCTTTAAATATGTTAATTTAAAAATTATATCTACCAAGGCCATTCAATGGTGTTATTTTCCTTTAAAACCAAAGACCAATGAAGATCAGATTACCCTAAACTGAATGATAAAGACCCCTAAAAATTCAATCAGTATTTATCTCTTTTAACAATATACAGGCGTACCTCTAAGTGCAGGTGTATAGGTGTAGCCAAGGTTCTGGAAGGCTTTCTGTATAGGTGGCACTAGTAGAGGGACATTACCACCAATATTGCTGATAATAAACAAGTAGAATGCTATGGCCCCTGTTCGCACAGACCAGGGGACTAACTCTATGACTACTGCCAGTGTAACTCCAACCCACATCTCTCCTGAAAGTTTAAACAAGCACTTAATGTTCCATAGTATACATGATTGAACAAAATCACAACTAAAATTGCTGTAAATTCTTTTTGATAATTCATTTCTAGGCCTAGCTTACAGTGTATACTAGGTCTATGTAGAGAGGATATATGGTACAATGCACCATCAGCAAGACATGAAATTCAGTGGTACTGAAAAATATATTTCCAATGTTGCATTTCAACTATTAAAATGTTAGAAAAATGTATACTTACCGACAATATTGGCAGGAATGAGGCTTATATAACACCATGGGGGATTTAAGAACAATGCTCCAGCAGCAAATGGTGCAGCAACAAGCTGGAAATATGACACAATACATCCATACAATGAGTTATATAATACTATGTAGACTGGTGATCTGCTCCTCTCTTTTAATAAGAGTGAATATGTAGTTCTAATTCTCATCATAAATGTTCTATAGATCAAATATTTGGACGGTTGCGTCTACCAAACATAATAACATGTACCATATATTTAAAAGTATCCATACAGTTTTAATATTGCTTACCTGACTTATCACCAAGACCATTATCCTGGCTGTGGGGCCCCTTCTGGTGACTACCCTGTCTGAAATGAACCCTCCCAGGACGGCCCCTAAGGATCCCCCAATTAAAGGTATCCAGGACATGAACTTAGCTATCTGGTCCCTAGTCTGGTGGATGCTCTCAAAGTAAGGCTGAGTGTTGTAGGCCCACACATAGCCACCTAGAACACAGGCACAAATTTTCAATGAAATCAGAAAGCATAAGAAATTAAGTAACTGACTCTTGTAAATAATGAAGAGCTGCCTCAAATTGCCACATTTTATACAGTTTTCCTGACAGAATTACTCACTTAAACAATCTACAAAGTTTGACATTTGTGAAAAAATCAATAACTATTTTCAATAAATCGCCAAATATTGAATTTAATGAACCATGCTTTAAACATTAAAAGTTAAACCCCAAACCTATTATATAATGAACATTGTAAAGATGCATTTAAAAAATGAATTTCATAATAATGTAGTTATTGAATAAGTTAATTAGAAGATATTTTTTGAAATTCCCAATGTTCCAAATTCTAAAGTACGTTTTGAAATCAGCACCATAGTGTTTTATAGATTGGTTCTATGGGTCAAAGCTAATTACATGTACTTGTATAAGGCATTACTTCCAGCATTTCACACGCTCTATCCTTCTCATTTCTTAAATATGGCACAACCTTTTACTTCTTCTTACCTGCGTTTCTTATTGACCCTGCTAGACATAACAACAGGAGAGATGGACGGATAAATGGTTTTACAATGAATGCAATTTTTTCCTTCCAGGATAGAGGTACATCCACATATTTTGTTTCATTCTGTTTCTGTCCTGTTCTTTCTGGCTCCTTGAGAGTGAAGAATATAACAGCCCCGAGTATGATTCCTGGTATTCCACTTATGAAGAATACCCATCTCCATCCCTAGAGGCAAAATATGAGTAGGTATGTATACGAGTATCTAAAATAAGGCATTAACATGCGAAATATTCACCACCTTACATTTGTTACAGACAATGATTACCAAACATCAACAATCAAATGTTGATCGCCTTTCATAAAAAAGTTGGATACTATAACAATGTGTCACCAAAACAAGAGTCATATTTATCATTCAGAGTCACAAATATAAAAGGTCCCAATAAGATTCGTGGAGTGTCACAGATGAACATCTCTACTCCATAAGTTGTTCTTTAATATGTATTCTAATGACTTCAGCATGAATAAAACAACTCACAACCTTCTGGTTTTGGATTGTGAAACTAATGCCAGAATGATGTGGGAAAGTGATTTTCATTGTGTGTTAGATCATAGTTTGGGATATTGGGCTTTGTTCTTGTTGTGACTGACAAAACTCTTACATTTCCTTTTTCTTAGTGTATTTTGTTATGGTCTGGGTTTTCCTTTTAGTACTTGTATTACATAAAACAAAAATATGAGTATATTTATTCATGCATTATTGTCTGAGGTGAAGGCAGCAAAAGATCAATGTCACAAAAATAGGATTTCAAGGACCAAAAATATTCATCAGATAAAATGCAATTCAAAAATCTCTCAGATAATACTTGAATAATGGGATACATTCAGCTTATTGTGTACTAGCTGAGTTTGGAATGAGATGACAAACTGCTTACCTGTCCTAATATATTGGCATCAATGATGAGATTTCCAAGAGCAAATGACATGCTGTACCCTGTATATATGCCCCAGTTGTACACACCCAGGGCAGCACCCCTCAGCTCTGGGGGAAAATAGTCTGCAATGATTGATGTTGCGAATGGCGTACATCCTGCCTCTCTGGAACAATTATAGCATGCTTGATTGAGTAAGGGGTTCTGGGGTGTATCTTTTTATCTATATTGAAATCTGTAACGCCCATGATTGAATAGTAGAAACCATTCTCTCCTTCAGTGTTTTATTACTGTATGAGTGCATACAGAATTTGCCTTGACCCAAGGATTTGTCCTTCTATTCAATTTGCCTTTCTATTGTTGTATTTTCATCTAAAAATGCATAAAACAACTTACCCTATGCCCAGTCCAAATCGGAGTACTGCAAGATGCCAAAACTCTGAAGAGAAGCCAGTGACAAGGGTCATGATAGACCAGAACACAAGGCAACCAGCAAGCAGATTCTTCCTATTGAGATGGTCGGCGGCAATCCCTAGGAAGATCCCCATGAACGTGTAGATGACTATGAATATAGGGCCTGCTATAACCTGATACTCAATACCCTGACCATTGTAGTTCCATTCACATACATGGGTGCCATTGATGTTGGTCAGTTTTACACATCTAGAATACAAAGAGAGAAGTATATATGGCGGTAAATGGGTTAAAAGTTTTAGGGTAAATAAATGAAATTATACTGTATACAGTAAAACCTGAAAAGGTGGAACACCTCTGTAAGTGGAACACCTCACAAGTGGAACAGGTTTTTAGAAGTCCTGTTGCCCATTAACTCCATATTAATGAACCTCTTTGCATGTACTCTTGATTATATTCTGACCATGTATTCATGTTGGTCTAAATTTCAAAGTCACCACAAGAAATGATCAAGTATAAGGCAAACTTTGAGAAACTTGTCAATCAGAAAACCTGCCATTGACTTTATACATGAGAAAGTTTTCTGAAAATGTTATAAGTCCTACTTCTTGTCAAATTTTATCGAGTAAACACCAAAAACTGTAATTCCAACAGCTTTGAAATCTTCAGAGGACATAAATTACATGTACAGCATCTACTACAAGTTATTTGAAAGTTCAACTTCAACAAAGTGTCAAGTATTTACAGAAAATTTGACTTTTTGATGTCAAAATCAGCAATTTCTCGGAAACCAGGCAAACTTGGGAAATGACGATGATAGGTCAAATATGCATTATGGATATGCATAAAATGAGTGTGAATATGACTCAATCCGAATAGCAGTTTTAATTTGTGCGGCCAATGTTGACGGACGAACCAACGGACGGAAGGACCAACGGACGGACGCCTGGTCGATCCCATAGGCTCACTGTGTGAGCCAAAAAGTATTTCGATCCGATATGATAGACTGCGAAGTTGTATCAGGAAGTCCTCCCAAGAAAAGGTTAACTACTGTACAACAAACATGGCATAAAGAATCAACAAATGTATTCAAAAAGTCAAACTGAGACTATCAAAGCACGAAGAATATGAACTTTAACATGGACGTTCCGAATCTAATTTTTATCCATGGTGTGACTGTTCACCATTGTGAATTATAACAGAACATTGGCAAACATTGGCAAACCTTCGGGCTGCGGTGAATACACCTTCAGAAATATATACAGATACTCAACTCCACATAATTCAATATTCGTATAATATTTACCATTTTTTGATCAATCAAAATATAGTATTTAGATTGAAGTACATGTTCCAACATTACTTACTGTTGTTCAGATTCAACTGTTTTGTTGGTGCATTGCACATCAGATCCTGCAGAGGAATTTTGCATGCAGACTTTATCTCCATAATGAAGTTCCTGTGCCATAGGCTTGGTTACTATAGGCAGTGTATAGCGATCAAGCTGATTCAGGAGGTATGCAAATAACAGCAGAAATAGCACATAAATGCTGTAACAGCCTGCATGACGCAGGCTAAATGCAGTAGGCATTCTGGGATTAGTTTTCCTCCTTTATTTAATATCAAATTGAGATCTATAAGTTGTTTTTTGGCTCAAATGTGCAGTAAGGTTGGCTCTAATTTCAATGAAGACATCACAGCAAAACTTCAATCTGCAAAATACAAAAGGCAATCAATGTCAACTTCTCATTCTCTTTCATCAGCAAATGTTAGCAAACGCGAGTTACAATAAATGGACACTGATATCTCGAAAAGAAACCTGGGGGGTAAGCGTTTCATAGTTGGTCACGAACGCCATGAGTGCAAAGTATTGTTCAGAATTTTTGAATTTCGTGTTGGATTATGGTACTCACACCTAAAGTGGATGTCCCGCGAAATCCTGGAAATCTAGGGCACTTTCTCAAAAAAAAATCTGTCCCTCTATGAAGTCTTTGGTGGTTACCCTGTTAATTGTCCCGCAATTAGCGTGTTTGTCCCTCGAATGGTCCCGTGAAATCCCGCAAATTTGATCAAAATTTGGCCTATTAGCGCAATCACACAAATCCCTTAAGGTCTCATGGAAGTTAACCGGAAATGACAAAACAAAAAATGACAAAGCCATGCTGGATTTTGAAAATTTTTTGAACCAAGATAACAGAGTTCTCTTTGGACCTCCAGTCAGTTTAACTAGTTCCACATATCATTTACATGACCGGGAACACAATTGAAATGGTCAGAATGACCATAAACATGATAGAATAACCTTTTCAGCCCTCTGAAAATGTGACTAAAAAATAGCTAAGAGTCGGTGCTCAGGAAAGGTCACTGAACAGAATCTTTTGAATTTTTCAGAAAATGTGCCCAATATATTGCTCTAAATGATACAATTTAAAAAAATTTGATATCATTCTTAGAAAAAGAAAAAAATGAAAAAAAATGAATTGAAAATCGATCTATTTTCCTTTTTACTCCAGCCATTATTGTTTACGACAATTTTTTAAAATTTCAAAGATTGTATCATTTAGAGCAATATATTGGGCACATTTTCTGAAAAAATCAAAAGATTCTGTTCAGTGACCTCTCCTGAGCACCGACTCTTAGCTATTTTTCAGTCACATTTTCAGAGGGCTAAAAAGGTTATTTTATCATGTTTATGGTCATTCTGACCATTTCAATTGTGTTCCCGGTCATGTAAATGATATGTGGAACTAGTTAAACTGACTGGAGGTCCAAACTCTGTTATCTTGGTTCAAAAAATTTTCAAAATCCAGCATGGCTTTATCATTTTTTGTTTTGTCATTTCCTGTTAACTTCCATGAGACCTTAAATGTCCCGCGAAATCCCCCAAATTTAGGTGGATATCCCGCAAAATCTCATGAATTTTGGGCACTGGGTCTAAAAAATATATCCCGTGAGAAAATTTTTGGGGGTTGACACTTGACAGTACTGTTAGTCTCAGCTCTCAGACCTAGATGTCAGCAGATCATAACTTGAATATACTACTGTAGGTGTCCTGTAAACACGGAAAGTGAAAAATCAAGTGGAACGGTGCGCAATAGGATTATCATCAGATGCTGATCATTTGCTGTGAGAAAACATCATGTGACTTTCACTTTTTCAGTACTTATTTTGGCCTTCTTGTTTTCGATTTTCTTAGGGTTTACAAATGTTGGCGTTATTTGTATTATTTATCAAAATGTTGTTGCTGATATCAATAACCAAAGTAATATAAATTATTAAGGGTTCAATCGATGTATAGCTTGATATTTATAAATAAAAGAGGAGAAAATTTGCAAACAGAATATTTACTTACGTAAATTCATATACAATCAAATGCAGGTTTCTTTCTGGTACAACCGTGGCAATGTTAGCGAAACCTGCAGGAATCTGGCGCAACCGTGGCATGTTATATTTTTACATAAATAACATTGTCCCGGTTGTACCAGATATTGTTACACTGTTATACATTGTCCCGGTTGTACCAGACATTGTTACACTTTGTATACATTGTCACGGTTGTACCAGACATTGTTACACTGTTATACATTGTCCCGGTTGCACCAGACATTGTTACACTTTGTATACATTGTCACGGTTGTACCAGACATTGTTACACTGTTATACATTGTCCCGGTTCTACCAGACATTGTTACACTGTTATACATTGTCCCGGTTGTACCAGACATTGTTACACTTTGTATACATTGTCCCGGTTGTACCAGATATTGTTACACTGTTATACATTGTCCCGGTTGTACCAGACATTGTTACACTTTGTATACATTGTCACGGTTGTACCAGACATTGTTACACTGTTATACATTGTCCCGGTTGCACCAGACATTGTTACACTTTGTATACATTGTCACGGTTGTACCAGACATTGTTACACTGTTATACATTGTCCCGGTTCTACCAGACATTGTTACACTGTTATACATTGTCCCGGTTGTACCAGACATTGTTACACTTTGTATACATTGTCACGGTTGTACCAGACATTGTTACACTGTTATACATTGTCCCGGTTGTACCAGACATTGTTACACTGTTATATATTGTCCTGGTTCTACCAGACATTGTTACACTGTTATACATTGTCCCGATTGTACCAGACATTGTTACACTGTTATACATTGTCCCTGTTGTACCAGACATTGTTACACTGTTATATATTGTGCTTGTTCTACCAGACATTGTTACACTGTTATACATTGTCCCGGTTGTACCAGACATTGTTACACTGTTATACATTGTCCCGGTTGTACCAGACATTGTTACACTGTTATACATTGTCCCGGTTGTACCAGACATTGTTACACTGTTATACATTGTCACGGTTGTACCAGACATTGTTACATTATTGAACAGGGTATATATTGTTTAAAAACGTGTTACATTTTTTAAAATTTTCACAGTTGTACCAGACATTTTTACATTATAAGATATTGTATCTGTTGTTACCAAACGTGTTACATTTTTTCTAATTTTAACTGTTGCACCAGACATTCTTGCATTATTAAAATATATTGTATCTTTTGTCACAAAACGTGTTACAGTTTTCAACATTGTCACGGTTGTACCAGACATTGTTGAACATTGTATATATTTTTACAAAACGTGTTACAGTTCTAACATTGGCACGTTTGTACCAGACATTGTTACATTATTATACGTTGTCAAGGTTGTACCAGACATTGTTACATTATTGGACAGGGTATATATTGTTTAAAAACATGTTACATTTCTAAACATTGTCACAGTTGTACCAGACATTTTAGCATTATTAGATATTTATCTGTTGTTACCAAACGTGTTACAGTTTTCTAATTTTCACTCTTGCACCAGACATTGTTTCATGATTGAAATATATTGTATCTTTTATCACAAAACGTGTTACAGTTTTCAACATTGTCACGGTTGTACCAGACATTGTTGAACATTGTATATATTTTTACAAAACGTGTTACAGTTCTAACATTTGCACGTTTGTACCAGACATTGTTACATTATTATACATTGTCACGGTTGTACCAGACATTGTTACATTATCGAGCAGGGTTTACATTGTTTTAAAACGTGTTACAATTTGTAACATTGTCACAGTTGTAACCGACATTTTATCTGTTGTAACCAAACGTGTTACAGTTTTAAAATTTTCACTGTTGCACCAGAGATTGTTTCATTATTAAAATATATCGTATCTTTTGTCACAAAACGTGTTACAGTTCTAACATTGACACGGTTGTATCAGACCGTGTTACATTATTATACATTGTCACTGATGTAGCAGACATTGTTACATTATTGAACAGGGTATATATTGTTTCAAAACGTGTTACATGTTTTAAAATTGTCACACTTTTACCTGACATTTTTGCATTATAAGATATTTTATCTGTCGTTACCAAACGTGTTACATTTTTTATTAGACTCCAGATTGAAAATCTGGAGTCTATTGTTTTTGCCTGAATTCATATGTTTTGTGGTACCTACATGTATTCATATCTAATGCAATCGATTTTTTCATATATTCAACATTCTTTGATGATGAGGTGTTCTCCTGTTCAATGATTCAAGAATTACAAAGGTAATTTATATTTTTACTAAATCTAATTTGTTGGTTTTCATACAAAATCGGTGAGATGTACTTTTATTGCACAAATGATATATTTTGTAACTTTCTATGGTAAAATATGTCACGTTGCTTCCATCAAGTCCGTGCTGCTTTTTGCTTTTCTGATCTTGAATTAAGCTGCAAAACCTGCAATTAAAGGCCCATGTGTAGTATAGCGATTGTTTTAGACCTTTATATTTCAAATAAAGTAAAATGACGTTTTCATCAATAGTATAATTATTTTCATCACCGGTTACGATAATAAAAATTGAAACGTAAAGATGCTTTTACACGTAGTTCAATGGGTGAGCTAATGTTGCCAAACTTACGTAGGGGAGTGTACATGTCATATTTTTCACCATGGTTTAGAAATCAATATAAGTGAGAGACCAACTTGGGCAAGGCTACTAATGCCTATTATGTTTTTTTAATGTATAAAAAATCACTCCACAATATACATTATAGTCCATTTGTCACCCCTATACATACTATAGTAAACCTATGAATTTTTAAAAACACGATGTTTTATGGTTAATTTATAATAACAAGGGTTTTCTGAAGTGATTTAACTTGTTTGGACAAAAAGTTATTTTGGGGAAAAAGTATATCGGCTAATTAGGGAGGGGAGTATTGGCTTAACATGGCGTTGACTATTGACTTAGCGTCGGCATACCACCATGTACCTGGTATGTTACCATGGTGATAGATACCAAAATTTCCCCCAACCTTAATATTTGGGCAACCCAGCTAAATCATTCCAATAAACCCTAATGATAGTATTTGCACAGAAAAACATCATGTTTTTAAATGTATTTTAAGAAAATGACAAATGGACTATTATGCATATGCTTGAGATAGAATTCTACTTTTGAGTGTAATAAAAAGATGCTATATGAGTAAATATGTGTTGCAATAGAGGTCAACGTTCTGGCTGGATGGATTTCACGCAAGCTTGACATGACATCGTGAAACAATTCATCGTGTGCTCCTTGAAACTGATTATAGCATTGATAAGTATACCGTTAAAACAACATATTTAAAAGAGAGTTGAAAAGG